GGGGCGCAATCCCGCTAGTATGTTTAATACTATGGAGTGCTTATGCAACATAATTTGGACATGTTCTTGAAGTTGTTGGGCTGAATCCCCTTCCACCTTTAGAGTGTGTAATTCCAAGTAAATACCATGCCGCTCATGCCGAATGGTTCGAACCATAGCCTTAAGAGAAACCATGGCTCTTGAGAGGCTCAAATCTCCCTTCAAAGTGACCCCTATTTCCAATTCACATGCATACCCCCTAATGTTTCCAACCACTGCAGACCTAAATTTACATCCACCCGGCCTAATTCCAATGGCAAAAATTTTCCACAACTGTCAAATTGGGTAAACTTAACACCACTTCCCTACAAAGCCCTCTTCCCCGAGCCGACTCTCCCGTTCCAACTTGAACTCCAAAACCAACAGTGGGCACAACAGGTATAGCTAATCTCTCAACAATACTCAAAGAAATGAAATTGTGAGTGGCTCTAGAATCGATTAAAACAATTACCTTGTGTTGAGCGAACGTTCCGCGAAGCTTCATAGTTTTTGGTGTAGAAAGCCCAACCACTGAATTCAATGATCTCGGGCTGCTGCTCCTCCAAACCAGTCCATGGAGTAACAATTTCCTCTTCCTCCCAATCAGGTACATCATCATCACTAACAAGCATGATGCGCAATTCCTTCTTACATCGGTGGCCTAAGGTAAATTTCTCGTCGCACTAGAAACACAATCCCTTATCTTTTTTTTCTTGTAGCTCGGAGTCCAACAACTCCCGAAATGGAAAATCTTTCTTTTGTGGTGTTGGTTTCTCCAAGGTAGCAGGAACTTTTGGTGGCCGATCCATTACAAGCCCCCCTTGTGGCTGAGGTGCTGATAATTTAGTGCGCGGTCCTCCCACATATTGGGGTCTCAAAAATCTCGTTCCCACCACCTCGCGACGGAGTAACTCATTCTTCTCCTCAAATCGTTGGGCTATCTCCATGATCTCACCCAAAACAACCGGTTTCAAAAGCCGTAATTCAGCTCGAACCTCTGCCTTTAATCCATTAACAAAAATTCCCTCTAAGATTTCCTCCGGAACATCCTGAAGGGGTCCTGTCGCCACTTCAAATTTTCTGCAATAATCAGCCACCAAACCTTGTTTAATAGCCAAGATTCTTTCACAAAGACTCTTCTTGCGAAGAACGAAAACGCCGCCGCAAAGCCATCTTAAACTCCGCCCAATTGTAAAATGGCCTTTGGCCGTTCTGCCATTGAAACCAAGATAAAGCTTCTCCCTCCAAAGCTATTCCAGTAGTGATCATCTTCTCTCTTTCTGAGCAGCGGTTTATGGAAAAAAACTGCTCCATTCGGAAAACCCAGCCATCGGGATCATCACCACTAAAAATTGGGCATTTAACTTGTCGCTGTTGTAATGTTGCCCATTCATCATTCACTAGACATTCCTCAAATCCTCTTATGTTTTTCCTGGGTTCCCTGAATCGACCCCCAAAGTTCGACATTCTTTCCCTTTCCACTCCTCGATAACCCTCTCCTCCAGAACAGCCACGCCGAGTTCCATCATCCAGTCCGCGAATTCCTTCCTCCGCGATCCCATCCCTCCATTCTCCTCAGAGTCCGCACGACTCACCACCCTGAGTACTCGCCGAAGCCTTCCTACTGCCGTTATGCCCCTCTCCCGTAGTTTCGTGTCCACTGTTTCGCGGAACCCTAGGTTCCATCTCTCGATCTCCAACCCGCGCGCGCAACCCAAGGCCTTCTGCCAGGAGTGACTCCACAACGCTAGTCGGAATCATCTTGTGCTCCTCCTCGACGACTGTCGTCGGCGCCCCTATCTTTTCTTACGACTGAGGCTGTGAACAACTTCATCTGTTCCTCCATTAAGCGGCGAATCTCAGAAAGATTCTGAGTTAATTCCGCCTTCAATTCTGCCCCAACTTC